GTTGGAGCTAAACTCTGCAGGACACCGGCCCTCCAGGACCGAGTTTGGGCTCTATACATATATTTTTTCAGCTCTTCCTCACTATGGGTCAACAGAGACCTGTTACAAGTGTGTACATTTATGGGCTGCTATTAAACCGAGTGCAATTGTAGTCTAAATTGGCTTGCTTTTATCCAGGGACCAACCTATAACACAAAGACATCTATCGAGATGCTGCTAACACCATGAGAGGAGAGCATTAGGAGTGGCTCATGGTTTAATTCAGCTTATATAAACCACATCTCAAGAGAGTGATAATTGACTCATATTATCATCTTTGACTATAAACACATCAGTGCCACTTATGTCTTACTTTTCCCATTAACAGCAGGCCTGTCTGGGCCAGCCGGGCCGCTCCGTGAACAAGTCTGTGTTTTATGGGAGTTAAGTTCTCCCCGTGGGAGCTAATCTGGACTGTGAGTCAGTGTGTACTGTGACTGTGAGAGTCAATCTATTCTGTCTGTTCTGAGCGTACTTACCTTGAACTTCATCAGGTTTGTCTGCTGGCTTGGACTCGGCAGGACAGGGAGTTACTCCGTGACTGTAGAAAGAAAATTTCCTTTCAGTACACATGGCTTGATAAAACAGCTTTAGCCAGAGCCAATGAAAATGCTTTTAAGCTACACAACACAACCTCTGACATCTACATCCTGGATAGAAAGTACACTCCTGAACAAAGTGATGAGATTAAAACTACTTCACGGGATGTTACTATAAGCAAATTAAAATAAAGAATGGGTGTTTTTTTGCTTCAGTTGTAAATAAAAACATTTTACATTTAACGGATTTATGGAATTTTCACTGAATATTTTTTATTTATTACAGCTTGGCATAAGAATAACAACAAAAAAAGTATATTCTTTCAAAAAATAAAAAACAATGCTCATAGAATCTTATTTTAAAAATATATTTTTAGTTGTTTTAGCTTCTTTTAATGCTTTTTTGTCTTATTTTAAACAATTTTATGTGATCTTGGGACCCCCTTTGGAAGTCAAATTTGAGATTTAGACTTGTGTGGTTTTAGCTTACATATTGCTCTTAAAAAAAGGTAGCTGTAGCATTTATGAGCTTTTCGTCGTACATCATCTGAATGAAATGAATAAGCATAACCAGATCCTGTACTTCATCACAACTACATGATCACACAAGAATAACACAGTCATGAGCTTTCCAGATGTGTGTTCACGATTATGTGTGCATGCTCTTCCTCATGTTTGATGGCTTCCCAGAAGAATTAATGTCCTGAAGTTCCCTGAGCGTAAACATGTCATTCACATATACAGAGTAAGTCAAACAAGTCTGTCTTGTGTTTTCATCGCCAAATACTGCTTTAAATGATACCAGCTGGGCAAAGCAAGATATAGAATGATTAAATCTCTTGCCGGAAATTTGTACAGAATTAGAATCAACGCATACTGATTCCAAACAATGTCTAATTAATCTCTTATTTGCATAAATCCCAGTCTGAAAAACATTTTAGTTCTGTTCCAAATCCTAGTGAGCTGCCCACTTAGGCAATATTTTTAGGCACCATAGCCACAACCACAACAGCATGCCTGTTCCAAACAGTAGGCAGCAAAATTACACTCGTTTCTCACCTCGTTTTGGATGAAATCTAAAATAAAATTGCCAATCCCAGAATGCACAGCACTGAATTTTATCTAGAAGCTGCAGAATTTGATCAAAATAAAACTGTTCCATCTATTTAAAAAATGCAGTATTTTACGTAATACTTGTGCTAAGCAATGCTTAGAATATTGAGCTTAGCTAGCAAGATCTAAATCCACAATCTATCTGCTGATTAAAAAGCTATTTAATCCAGGCTAAATTGGCCTGGAGTGAATTAAATAACAATTAAAAAAGGTTAGTCGTTTTTACCATAGTTTTCTCCAAAGAACTAGAAAACAGCAGCGCACAAAATGCTAAAAATGTTGAAATGAAGAAAAGAGAACAAGCAAAGCTTTAAGAAAATAAAGGAGGACAGCAGAGAGTATTGCAATGTTTTATGTACTCAGAGACATGAGTCAACAGATTATTTGATCTTATTGGAGACAGAACCAGAGGAAGAGCAATCAGATGACATCATAATAGTGCATTATGTTAAATTACAGTGAGGAAAAAAAGAGAAGGAAATATAAAGGAGAAAGAAAGTTGAGAAAAATCACGAGGGGGCTACACAACACAAACAGAAAGGAGGAGCAATAGTAACAGTCCTGTGATGGATACCTCCTCTGAACAAGCACAAAAATAACAACAACAATAAAATAACATGATTATCAGTTTGTAGAAACGATACCACTTGAAAGAGACTATGTCACACCAACAGCATTCAGATATTCCTAACGGGAACTTGACTGTAGGGCTCAGTTTGCGTGGTTTTTCCGACTATGCCTGCATTTCTTCGCACATTTGTTTTTGCTATTTTTAACTTGTATTTTTTATTTTTCTTTCATTAACTTGACAACCCCCCTATCCCCAATTTTTTTTGTCCTGGTATAGCTGGGGTCGGTGTTCACCCATAGCTGGCACGCGGTGTTGCAGTGGTGCATTTGTATCTAGTGCGGCTGCATCTCAGCCCCCTCGGCCGTCTGATAGCAGGGAGGCAGAGCGTTCAGGACTTGATGTTGAGGGCACAGGCGGATCTCTCGTGATGCCAGTCTCTCAGCCTGGCATAGCGGGGACTCTGAATCTCAGTGAGGAACTTTTCCCTGCCATTCAGTGCACGACAGAGTACAGGAAATTAAGAGAGCGGTGAGAACAAAACAGAAGAGAGAAAACAATGTCAGCACACAGAAAGACAAAAGCAAACGCAAATGAGGTTGAGAGAACTGCAAAACAGAAAGGAAAGAAGAAAGAATAAAAGATGCAACATATGAAAGTAGTGATGAATTCAGAAAAAAATCAGTGCATCTGTAGATAACCAGGCCCAGACAGAATCTGCAGACTTTTTCCCCCACGTTTTCTGTTTTGATTTTAATGGAAAACTTGCTAAATGGAATTGGAGCTGAGAGTACTACATGCTTACTGGCAGCACAATCTAACGAGCCAAAAGTTTTAAGGGCGTTTGCACACAAGAGAGAGAGAGCGTTTTGATGGAAAGCAATGCACAAGATGCTTTTTTTAAGGGTGTGGAAAGAAATTTGGTATGAAATCAAGTAGGAATATAGGAAAGTGCATTTCCGAAAGCACAACTGGGCTGACAGTAAACAACGGCTCTGTGTAGTTAATGCTGCTCAATGTGAAAGCCTGCACGTGATGGAGATTTACCGCTGATTACAGAACCGGCTTTCTGACAAGATGTGCATTAAATATCGCATGCAATTTATCGTGCAGCCCTAGTCCAAATTCTTATACTTTCATAGATGTGCCGAATGTTTTGGGTATCAAGGCTGTGAAATTCAAATTTCAACTTCAAACATTCATTGTGCTTAAAACAAAAATAGGTATTTGAAGGCAAAAACTTTATTTTATAACACTTATTCACTGCCAATCAAACGTTTGGGGCTGGATTTTTTATATTTTATTTTTTAAGTCTCTTATGCTCACCAAGGCTGCATTTATTTGATCAAAAACACAGTAAAAACAGTAATATTGTTAAATTTTATTACAATTAAAATAGCGGTTTTCTATTTTAATATATTTTAAAATGTAATTTATTCCTGTAACATTTCTTATTGTTATCAGTGTTGTATTGCTTAATATTTTGGAAACATATATTTGTTTGTTTGTTGTTTTGTTTAGGATTCTTCAAAAGAACAGCTTTTGGCGAGACACTGCAGGTGAATAGGGTACAAAAAATAACTACTAATTATCACCTTACCCAGTTGATTGATTACACTGATAATTGCAAACATTTTTTGTATTACAAGTTTTGTAAAATGTTATGTTTAAATATGCAAATGAGGCATTATTTAATGAAATATGCGCTAATTTGCATACATTTCTAGTACAAAAATCTGAACACTGGATGAATTCAGTTTCAAAATTCTTGTTTATTTTTTTTTTACATATTAGAGGCAAATGTTTTTACAGAGGGAATTTTGGGGGGGGAATAAAATGTTGTATATAATCAAGCAAATTATATATGAACAAATCCCTCTGTAAAAACCTTCAGAATATAGACAGGAATAAAAATGTAAAGTTTGGTGTGTGTAAGTGCTACTGAAGTGGAGATTTATGGCTCAGTGTAGGAGAAAAAACTCATTTTGAGAAAACGGCCTTTAAAAATATGTATTGTATTTGAAATCTATTGACACAAATAGATACAGTGCTATAAAAGAAACGCTTACCAGTGTCTTTTGGATGCTTTCTTTCCACTAGTCTGAAAAAACACTTTATGAAAAGCCAAAAACCCCAAAATCTCAAAATTGACAGGTGCATGAAAAAACAGTGCTTTTGTCTGCAGTGTCTCCCCTTAAAACAGAAATGTTATATAATATTATAAATGACTTTACTGTCACTTTCGATCAATTTAAGGCATCCTTCCTGAATCAAAGTATTCATTTCCTTTTAAAAATCTTACCGACTCCACACTTTTAAAAAGTAGTGTACTTAAAAGACTTTTCAAATCTAACAACTCCTCTGCTCTTGTGGCCTTATGGGATAGCAAATTTTCTCTTGCATTATGGAACTCCATAAACCCTTGCATTTGTCCTATAAATGAGGCATCATTCCCATCAAAAATCAATGAATTTGAATTGGTATCTGACACATAAACGTTCATTAAACTGTATTTTATACATGACAGGCATTCGTATTCTGCAGAAATCTGAGGGCATGATTCTGTGAAGGTCTGATTATAAGGCACACAGCAATCAGTGTATGAGGTTATACTGCAAATGCACAGATCAGACAACAGCTCATAATGCCGATCAAAGCATATTTTCAGCATCTCTCCGCAGAGAGCTGAACACTGTGATCTCCTAATGAGGGTGGTAAAAGGTCAGAGCCAGCGATTTAATGCTTCAAACAGCACTTCATTAGCAAGTTCACACAGCTCTTTACCTGGACCTTTTCAAGTTCTCATCATCCGGGTCCTGCACTGAGGGAAGCAGGAGAGATACAGGTCAGACCAACCATCAGACACACAAACACAACATAAAATCCACTTCCAATATCTGAACAACACTACAAAACACTTGAGGACTGCTGCTTTTAAAGAGACCCATCACCTTTTAACATGAGTCAATCCCATGAGATGTACAGGTACGGTATGGCAACAATGGTTGACTGCACACCTCTTTCCTACCACTTACTCGAGAGCAAATCAAAGCCACTCAGGCTCTAGACAGCATAAAGGAGAAAATCTCAGCCATAACCCTTTAAGCTATACATAGACAACATTTCCCACTTCTTTATGATCTCACTCTCAATATCAGATCAGCGGTTGTGTCCTCTAGGACATGCTTTCATGCCCTCCTACACTCAGATTAGTTCCTGCCACTAAGTAAAGATGGGATTTAGGAGAGGGAGTTTTTTTTAGGAACTTGGGAACAGGGCTGGGAGCTAGAACTGTATATACTGTGATGCTAAAAATGCATC